CCACGCCCCTGCACACACACATTTCTGGGGATAAAAGTTAACAAAGATTTGCTTCTTGGTTAAGAGAAGAGGGTGGGTTACACATACACTCACACCTTTTGGAGAGGGGAAGAAGCCCTTTGACCCCCACTCTCAGCTCCTACCTCTCCCATCCCAACCTCTCCCTCTTGGCTCCCCGCCCCCCCCCCCAGGTGCCTAACCTTTCCTATTGGCTGGTGTCCCCCGTTGTTTGTCTTTGACGGCTGCTGCCTGCATACCGGCCTGGTTTATGTAGATTTCTTCAGCCTCCATGGTCCCCAGTCTGCCAATCTGTCCACACATATCCCCACCCCCCGGGAGGTGTCTTGTCAGATGAGGAAATCTCTGGTTTGGGGTGTGGGGGAGGAAGGAGAGGTCAGCCTCCTAATTTCAGGGATCCAGAACCTCCCACCCTGGGGCATCCTCATACCCCCAGATCAAGAGCGGTCTCAGGAGACCAGAGGTCTCAGGAAGGACGGAAAAGAGAAGCCCGTAGACCTGGAGGCAGACCAGATGGTCCGGAACTTGTGAAAGAGGAGTTAGCTAATGCTACAGTCATCATTTTGAAATATATCAAATCAACACGTATACACCTTAAATTTTTATAACACTGTGTGTCAATTATCCTATATAATAAAAGCATGATATGCTAATTAGACTGGACGTCCTTCCGGATGACCTTCCGGATGAAGCTGTGGCTGCGAGGGCAGAGGCAGAGGCGGCCACTGCGGTGGGGGCTGAGCCCCTTGCACGAATTTTGTGCACCGAGCCTCTAGTATTAAATAAAAGTAGTTTTTAAACAAACAGGGTCTTTACAGGAAGCTGTGTGTGTGTGCGCGCGCGCGCGCGCACGTGTGTGTGTGTGTGTGTGTGTGTGTGTGTGTGTACCTGGATGAACCTCATTCTCCTGTCTCCTCTCAAGAGAGAAGCTGTGGCCCTCAGAGTCCCACCTTTTAGGGTAGGGGCCACCGTCTTAGAGGCAGGATTCCCGAGTCCCCACACCTTCCTTCCTGCTTTCCTCCTGCCGCAATGCCCCCCCTCCACTCCACTCCAAGAAATGCTGCTTCCTCACGGCCCCTGGAGGAAAGGAGAGGATCTGAGGCGGCGGTGCTAACCACTGGAACTTCAACTCCCATCTACAACTGAGGCAGGTCCACGCCAAGACCTTCCCTGGAATTGCTTCCCTCCACCTGGAGACCCCACTCAGAGAAATACCCAGAAGCACACTCATTCAGACATCTGCTCGCCTACCCAGACTCACACGCACACACTCCCGAATATCCGCAGTCGCGTATACGCATAGCACACCCATTCACATGCTCAGAGAAATATACATATTCATGCATTCACATGCCTCCACTCTGTCTAGGTGTCTTAAAACCGTCTTTGTGTCTATCTGACCTTGAAAATGGGGGATAAAAATGAGACGATATGCATAGGGAATTTTCTCTGTAAGTCTAGTGCCTTCCAAGAGAAATATAATATAAACCACATTTTTATTTAAAAGTTTCTAACAGCCATATTAAAAAGATAAAAAGAGACAGGCTAAATTGATTTTAATAACATATTTTATTTAACATAATATACCCAAAATATTATCTCTTCAACGTATAGGTGTTATTGTAATATTATTGATATATGTCGCCTTTTGGGAGGTACTAAGTCTTCAAAATCAAATGCGTGTTTACACGTAAGGTGCCTTTCCGTTTAAAGGGGCCACGCTTCGGCTGCTTAATGGCTGCCTTGATGGACAGCACTGGCCTAGAGTGTTAGAGGTTTCTCTCTTTGGAAAAAGGTAAGGTTTTCTGACAATGTGCAGGAAGTGTGATGTTCTCTGTTTAAAATACGTGGTTAAATTCAAGAGAGCTTTGGAACGGTCCCCCAAGATCTGGTGAGGATAACGTTCTCCTTCCTAAACTGTTGCCAACCTTGTCTGCTCCAGGAAGGTCGACTTAGCAGCGGTGAAACGCCAGCTCCTTGCCGGTGGTAGAAAGCAGCCAGCCATTGAGCAATTTCCCCCCCCCCCCCCCCCCCCCCCCGTGATGTAATAGCCACAGAGGAGACAGACCAAAGGAGAGCTGGCTCTGATTGATGGACAGGCGCGGGGGGCGGGCCTCAGGCTTGCACACGCCCCTGGCTCAGGCGGCCTAAGCTGGGCCCCGGCCCTCTGGAAGCTGAGAAAAAGGCAGCTGTGATTGGAACCCCGCCAGTCAGGCCACAGTGGCTTGAGAGGGCTCCGTGAGGTTGCCTGACCAGCCCCGTTCATGGGGTAACAGCTTTCTTTTCCTTAAAGAAAGAAAACGTGTCATAATCAGGGATTGGTTTAAGGTGGGCACATGATCCAGGCCCAGCCAATCAGAGTGTAAGATTTGGCACAAGGGCAGACAAATGAGTCAGACTCAACCAATGAAACTCAGACCTGGAACTTTTGTCGGGTTAACCAAGGAAGAAAGGTATCCTCTCTTTCCTCTCTCCGCGGGGCTGTCACACCGGGAGAATGTACGCCTAGAGCTGTGGCAGGGAGAACCTGGCTGAGAGCGGAACTCTAGAGCAGCGGTTCTCAACCTGTGGGTCACGACCCCTAAATACATCCTGCATATCAGATATTTACATTACGATTCATAACAGTAGCAACATTACCGTTATGAAGTAGCAATGAAAATAATTTTATGATTGGGGGTCACCACAACATGAGGAACTGTATTAAAGGGTCGCGGCATTAGGAAGGTTGAGAACTGCTGCTCTAGAGGGAGTTGAGTTCTGGAGACATTATTTGAGTCCCTGGGTTCAACCTGAACCTGCTGTTCCAGCCCTGGACCTCTCAGTTACATAATCCAGAACCTTCCTTTCACTTTTGCTCAAGTTAGCTTGAAGTGGGGTCTGTGGACCTTGCAGCTGGAAGGATCTTGACTCCCTCAGGGGGCTGGGCAGTTGGTGGATGGAAAAACAGAGGTTCAAGAATGAGGCTACAGGGAGTAAGATGTGATCCCAAGTCTTCACTCTGGGACAGGAGGGTGACTGTGTTGGAATTTAGGGTTCTGAGGGGACCCTTCTTGGGGTCCAGTTATAGAGGGACAATTGGGTGGGACTTGGAGACAAAGGCATACACATCAGGGCCCCCAACCACAAATCAGTGAGGGAGACAGCAAAACACCAAATTTACCTTCTCTGGTCCTGGACACACTTTTGACTCAGTGGTCTCACTCCAACCCAGGGCCACAGTGGAGTCAGGAGGAAGGGCCTGAGAGGGGAATCCCTGGGCTGGGATCTAAGTGGGCTCCATGGGCACCAAGAGTGTTTGTGAGCCTAGCTCATGGCCCACGTGATCAGACAGGGGCTGTGCCATCTCAGGGGGTGGGTGGCAGTGGAAGGAGAATCCAAGACACGGCCCCCCCCCCCCCCCCCCCCGTCACCCATGTTCCAGCTCCTGGAGCATGCTGCTGGGGCCTGTGACTTTTGAGTCGGGGGTTCCTTTCAAGACTGGGCACCAAGTTTCTAAACTGTGCAGCTCTCAGGGGCTGGATTATAAAACTAATAGGCACGTCTCACTGACACCAGAGAGGTGTTACCAGAAGGCCCTGAGTCAGTGGGAGAGGGCTGTCCCCAACCTCGATCCTTATCTTCTTTAAAAAAAAAAAGTATATATATATTGATTTCAGACAGGAAGGGAGAGGGAGAGAGAGATAGAAACATCAATGATGAAAGAGAATAATTGATCGGCTGCTTCTTGCACACCTCCCCACTGGGGATCAAGTCTACAACCCAGGCATGTGCCCCTGACTGGAATCGAACCCGGGACCCTTCAGTCCACAGGCCAATGCTCTATCCACTGAGCCAAACTAGCTAAGGCGATCCTTATCTATACTAATGAAAGGGTAATATGCTAATTAGACCGGACGTCTTCTGGACGTCCTTCCGGACAAAGTCGTGAGGGCTGAGGAGGGCCGGCAGCTGCGGTAGCTGTGAGGGCCGAGGAGGGCTGGTGGCCGGCAGTGGCAGCAGCAGTGGGGTGATGGGGGCAGCGCCTTGCCCTGATTGCCCAGTCGCCTCCCGCGGAGGGAGGCCAGACTGCAGCTTAGGCACGGGGAGTGTGCCTAAGCCGTCAGTAGGACATCCCCTGAGGGCTCCCAGACTGCTGTGAGGGGGGCCCCCCCCCCCCCCCCGCCGTTCAGTGCATGAATTTTCGTGCACCAGGCCTCTAGTCTTCTCATATAAATGCATTTATACAAGAGACCTTGACTGTTTTGTGAAAAGCCAATCTATTAAGCATGCACCTTTATTGAAAAAGCAAAGCCAGCAAACCTAGGCATCTGGCCCATGAAGTGCAGACGGGCTCTCAGCTCATTGAAGAGCGAGTTGGGTGGGGTCTGGGGCGTTATATACCCTCCTGTCCATAGGCTTCAACATTCCTCTGCTGACTGTTTTGGTGCAGAGTGAGTCTCAAGGCCCCCTTTTTTTTACTTTGTTGTGACCTTCCCAGAATTCATGAGAAGCACCTGCAACTTTATCTCGCTCAGCCTGAGACTGCGGGCTTCTCTGCTGAGGGAGTAGAACTGCCTTTCCCCCTCCCCCTCCCTCTCTGCATTCTCTCATTCCGAAGGTTTTTCACCACCATTTGCTCTCATGTCCTTGCTGGGAAGATAATGGCTTGTTAGTTACCAGCTGGCTGCAGATTGCCCACACTGGCCTTGTTTTAACATTTTTGTCTCAGTTTCCCCATTCCTCCTGCCCTGGAAGCCTGTAACAAAACAGTCGGTTAGGCTTCCTAGGAAACTGGACCCTGAATCGCCTGGATTTGTGCTCCCTGGGATGCTGGGGTTTGCCTTTTAGGGCCCTGAGTCCAGACAGGGACAAGTGCCTCCAGGCTGGGGTGAGACTTAATGTTGGGAGTACGAGAGTCGGCCCAGGGTGTATGTGTCCACATGTCACTATGACCCCACGCTGTGGGCTTGTCTGTGTATTTCAGGGGTGCCTTCCTGTGTCCACGTGTGTCTGTGGGCATAGTGTCTCTGTGTGACGGTGGTGACTGGGTTGTGTACTGTGCGTGCACGTGGCCATGGGTAACTGTGCACGTAGTGTGCCTGGGCCCTGGTGGCTTGGAGATAGGGAGGGGGTCAAGAAGCCCCCTAGGGCCCTACCTGGTTTGGCTCAGTGGCTAGAGCATCGTCCTATAGACTGAGGGGTCCTGGGTTCGATTCCAGTCAAGGGCACATGCCTGGGTTGCGGGCTCAATCCCCAGTAGGGGGCTTTGCAGGAGGCAGCCGGTCAATGATTCTCTCTCATCATTGATGCTTCTGTCTCTCTCTCCTTCTTCCTTCCTCTCTGAAATCAATAAAAATATATTTTAAAAATTTTAAAAAAAAAAGAAGAAGAAGAAGCCCCCTAGGGAAGGCTGTTATAAATACCCAAATGGCCCTTGGCAGAGAAGAGGCTCCCCACCCCTGGAACAGAGACGCCGGCAGTTTCGGGATTTAATTGCCAGGTGCTTCTCCTGGTGAGGAGAGCTCATCTGG